GAGCTGGTGCAGAGGGTCCTGTCTGGACTTTATTGAATAACCCGTACATCCATGTCAGCTGTCTTAACAGGGTTGACGTTATATGGCAAATCAGATTTGGCAAGTCTAATTTTAATGTGTATGTAACGACATATGGTCTTCCAAAATAATTTTCTCCTTCAAAGCTAAAAATAATGTTTGTCACCTTTTGACAATTAAAGATAGTGAATATTGTATTGTCTATGTCATATCTATTTAGGCTGTATATGCATATATTAAAAGAAGCAAGACATGTACAAAAGTGAGAGAATAAAATATAACATCATTTTAGGAGCTGATTTAACTCTTGTATCTCATGCAACTGCAAATTGTCACTTATTAAAACCAAACACTTTCTGCTGAAGTACAAGATGACACCAATATGCTATTCTCTGCTCATTGTTACCCAGGATAGAAGGGCTGGCATTTGTTATATTTACATATTTCATAAATATCCAGATCACTGCCTGGCCCTGGTACAAGCACCCACACTGTGACATAATTGTTACTGATTGTTCCATAGGGATTCAACTGTTTGAGGACAACATGGTTTTACTGTTGACTTGTTAACTAAATATCAAAGTACAGCAGATTGCCATTTTCCTGTAAAGATGCAAGTTACTGCCTCGCAGCTGAGAAAACATCAAAAGGTGGATACACAAGGTCACATCCAAAGCAACACATTCTTTTGATGTGCAAAGCATAAAGGAGGAATTTACAATGATCACACAGTGCAAATTTCAACCTATGATTCTTACAAATGTCCTCCACCCACGTCTGGACGTAGCTACTGATTTCCCCGTGGTCCATCACAGGGGAAGAAGTAGATCTCGTTGTTCACACATGACCTCTGACCTCTGCCACTGGGGAGCCAATGGGGGAGCAGACTGTGCCTTGGGAGCTCTTGCCCTCTGATGTGATGGCTTCAGGCAGTGGGCTTTGCATGAACCCATCCCCCATGGCACCCCTTGCCACTAGATCCTCTGCATTATTCATAGATGGGGTGGGGTGGAGCGGGGAGAAACAGAATATGGAAAAGGAAGCACCAAGGTTCAAGACCTTCTCAGATCACAAGGAACTTCTGCTTAACCTCCCCTGAAGTAGCAAACACAGGGATAGAGCAGTTTTTTTAAAGGAAGTGGATCTGAGAGCAGGACTGAAGATCAATGGGGGATTCCCTCGAGGCTTGGTGGAGATCGCATTCAGTGCAAGGTGACTGGTGAATCAATGTGGTTCCCATGGTTCATTTTGCCATTGTGAGAACTGATCCTCCTTTTTGCGATAATGTGATACTGTCTCATGATCAGTTTAACTGCCCCTACATTTAAGTGGAAGCAGTGTAAGTACACAGGTTGTACATAACTGCACATCATGCCAGTTCGTATGTTAACATGATATTATGTTACACAAGTTCCATGGGTGTCTTGAGATATCTCATTTGTTCTAGTGTACACAGACACCTCAACACAATGTTAGCTAATATCTTTTCTTTTTTTACAATGCGCCCAGCACAGCACCTCTCTCCATGCTGACCAAATAGACTCAATCATTGACTATGATAGGTGATAATTAGTGAAAAGCATATAGATGTTAAGCTGTTAATCCCTAATGCACACTATGCAACCTAACAACGCTGCACAACCCGGCTCTTAATACAGCCCAGCACATAACCTGCTAATTGCATAATTGCCTGATTTGTTTAAACTGACAGTGGTGCCCTGGTCCATGACAAGGCCATCATTTGCTCATCCTCATTGTCAGCAATTTGCAAGGAGGATACCCCACCACACACCCCAAGTACACAACATCCAGCACCACAGTATTAAGATACAGCCATGAATTAAGGATGCGTCGCAGCAGCGGAGAGATGAATAAATATAACCGTTGCTAGATTAATTCTGAGAGACATGGAGGCAGGCGGATAAAATAAACTAATAGCAGCAGGCTGTCCAACAGATAAAGTGGGTACCCTCTCGTCTCTCTTCTGTAATTACTGGCTAATAGTCATTAACCTGGCAAACAGAGGTTTAGCTGTATTGTTTAAAGGACTCTGGGATGCATAATGACAGACTAATATGTCATAGCACTGGCGGAGATGGGGGAGGGGTGGATTAATGAGATTTTCCTGGAGGGAGTGTACAAGAAGAGGTGGGGCACGCCTGGAAAATATAGGGGAAAGAGGGCCACATTAAGCTAATTGGAAGATGAGTGCCTACTTGTAAAAGTGCTTCTAATGGCATATTTGTTTCTCTCACAGCATCACAGGGCTAATGTAGGGGAGTCGAATGGTGAGACCTAGTAAGGACTATAGGGGCCTGTGTTTGTCTACAAATGTTTGCCAAAACACTTTATATATTCAATCTCCAACCATTCATGCACATTTTTTTCTTGGCCTTTGAATGTTTATACATTTTATGGGGGTTATCTCCATTTAATATTTTTGACCGCGGAATTTAAAGATGATCTACTGAATTGTATTGAAAGTCTTCTTGGCATAAAAAGCAGTAGCAGTTTCTACATGGACTGAACCTTGATCCAGTTTCTCCTTTCACGTTCTTTTCTAGACTGATTTGCTCTGTTTTAAAGTTTGTGTTGACTCTCTGCTCAAAGCCCGACCCTGGCCTCAATGCTTGTTGGCCTCCAAAACTCAATTGACCAGTTAACGAGGAGGGCTTGGATAGCGTCCTCTGGCCTCCTCGCAGGGTCCAGTGCATAGCAGAACCACTGACCTTCTTCTGACAGCTGGTTGGCCCTTCCATGCACTAATAGGTTGCAGTTTGGCCCGTGTCACTGTTTTTTGGCTTTTGTTTGACTTTGCGAGTGGGGAACTGAAGGAACAGGGTGGGACTAGAGGATGGAATACAAGCCTGTTATATCCAGTCAGTGATTGAGACAGGGCAAGTGTGAGTATGAAGGGCATTGGTCAAGTCATCTTGTTGATGTGTGTAAAAATGCTTTAACAACTTTACTATTGATTGAGATGAATCCCTATTTATTTCAAGTTCACATTAAAATCACCTCCTTTATAGGGGTTTATGAATGTTTTGAAGAACAAACATCCAAAGTGAACCAGTTAAGAAAGTGACATTAACATATCTTAAACTGAATTAAACTTGGCCTACCAATGATTGCCATTCACTGCTATTATTCATAGGAATAATACAGTTAAATTGCTTTCAGAATTTTTTTTTCTACTTCTAATCAGAGTTGTAAATTCAGGCTAACACTCAAAAATATTTTCTCTTTTTTTTGTCACAAGAAAATATCAAAAGACTGCAGCACTTCTTAGAACTACAATTTCTTTAGAAATGATCTGGCTGTGGAACTATTTAAAGATTCACTTTCTAATCTGCTTTCATTTTTTGTTTCAATTAAATCAAATAAAAGTACTAATGCCCATATGGCCATGCAGTATGAAATAATAGTGCCCAGGCTAGAATTTAAAGTCATACCTTCAGGCAAAAACTCCAGAGCGCGCACAGAATGAAAGTATAAAATGTTTTTTAATGTATATTTAACAACAAATACCCTAGTGACTATTGATGTTTCGTCTCAGAAGAATCTATTTCTCCAGTATTTCTAAGGGCATGATATGAAACCACTCACACTTTTATTTTCTCTGTTTTTCTGCTCTTCTTCCTCTGTGTCTCTCCCTGACTCTCTCTCTTTCGCTGTCTCTCTTAAAACATTTATCTTCTGTTTTCTCCTTACAGGCCCTTTGTGCTTTGTGATGTTGGTTTTTACAGCTTTTTACTCACCAGAGTTGCCATTTATGTTTTATAGATGCCAGCAGCTTGGAGCACATTTGAAATGTTACCATTTCACTGTGACTAATTGTCATCGCTTGCGTTATTCCCTTGATGTCACTTGCGCTTGGTCCCCCAGGAACCTGTGTGTGAACTGCCGTATTTACACTGTGTCTTTCTCTCCCTCTTTCATCTATTTCTATCTTGTTCACACAAACACTATCTTACGTAACAACATCTGTGGCAGTTACTGTTTGAGTATGATTTTGTGAAGATTTCTGTCATCAGTGCTATGAAGCAGGAAAAGATGTGGGTTCATACACAATGACAAACATTGAATGCAGTAGCTCAACCACAAAGTCAATTTTCAGGATCTGCCAAGATTATATTCCCAGAATCCTTGGCTATCCCTTGATGTTTGACAATGTTCATATTTTCAAGCCTTTTATTGCAAATCCACGAAAGGCTAGCCAAGTAAAGTGCTCTATTTGAAAAAATGCAGAAGTCCCATTGGAAAAGTTCTGCCAGGTGTTGCCATAAAATATCTTTTGTTAATATTTGTTGTTTTAGATTTGTGCCACTGTCAACGAAAAATGCATCATTAGTCGAGGATGCAGTAAATGACGTGGTCATGCATTTGCTGTATTTCAGCATTAATAGTTATGTGAAACTGTTTGCTTATTGACATATGACATGATTAGTACTTCAGGTTACACAAGTTGTACATCCTGAAAACCCCACTAACATACAGTGAATAATGATAAATATTCAGTCTTGCATAAACATTTTTTATCTTTGAATTACCAAAGCCATACAGATAAAAATCCTTTTTGGGGGGTTTGGCATGTTCAAAGGGAGTAACCAGCAGTAGTGTGTGTCTTTTACAAATTGTAGTCTCAGACATATTTCTGTTAATAGAACAACCTCAGTGATTCTTATTTGTTTACTTGGGACTCAATTAAACTCCTGCACACGCACATCATTGTATGATAAATGATCACATTTTCAGAGCAGACTTATAAAAAAAAAAGGTAGATGTGAAAGAGAAGGGGAGTGGTATTTGACAAAGCTCTCTTCGTTACATGTCGCTCTAGGGGCTTCTGAATTTCATGAGCAGAAAAGCTTGCCCTTACAAACTAACCCCTGCTCTATCCTTTTCTTTGACCACACTGATTATGCACAATCAATAATGGTTTGTGTTTCTGTCTTCTCTCTTCTCTCTTGTGGGGCATCTAGGATGCTGCAGGCAAGGTGCTAGACCGCTGGTCCATCATGTCCCGAGAAGAAGAGATCATCACCCTGCAGCAGTTCCTGCGCTTTGGTGAGACCAAATCCATTGTGGAGCTGATGGCCATTCAGGAGAAGGAAGGTCAGGCAGTAACAGTTCCCTCTTCCAAGACAGACTCCGGTATTAGGACGTTCATTGAAAGCAACAACAGGACCCGCAGCCCTGGACTTCTGACGCATCTGGAAAACAGCAGCCCATCGAGCATTCACCATTTTGAGAATATCCCCAATAGCTTAGCCTTCCTCCTGCCCTTCCAATACATTAACCCAGTTTCTGCTCCAATGCTTGGTTTGCCGCCAAATGGCCTGCCTATGGAACAATCTGCCCTCCGGCTCAGGGAGCCCAGCCTGCCAAATCAAGGTGAACAGGTAGAGAGCAGTGAGTCAGAAGTGTCCCTGTCACCCTTCCGCTCAGGCCAGAGCCCAAGCCGTGGAGCCCTGGGAGCCCTTAACAACAACATTGAACCCAAGACAGAGCCCAACAACAGGGCATCACCCATCTCGCCAACCCCTTCCACCCAGCAAGCTCAACAACAGCAGCAACAACAGACACAGCTCCAGCAGCAACAGGGTCAACAGCAGTCCCAAAATCAATCTCAGCAGTCCAATAGCTTGAGTGACCATCACGTCCACCACCACTTTGTAAAGGACGAGCATTCTAAAACAATCACCCATTCTTCTTTTTCCTCAAAGATGCATCGCATGCGCCGCATGGGATCCACTTCACGCAAGGGTCGTGTGTGCTGCAATTCTTGCGGCAAAACCTTTTATGACAAAGGCACACTTAAGATTCACTATAATGCTGTACACTTGAAGATTAAACACCGTTGCACCATTGAGGGTTGTAATATGGTCTTCAGCTCACTTCGCAGCCGTAATCGTCACAGTGCCAATCCCAACCCAAGGCTACACATGCCAATGCTGCGCAATAACCGTGACAAGGACCTCATTCGTGCCAATTCAACCCCCGGTACACCTGTTATCTCAAGCACTAAGAATGGTGGCTTCACACTCACCAGCCCTGGAAGGCCACCACTGGGCTTCACTACCCCACCAGTAGACCCTATGCTTCAGTCACCTCTGCAAAGTCCACTGGTGTTTCCCTCGTTGAAGTCAGTTCAACCAGTCCAGCCAGTGCCCCCATTCTACCGTACACTGTTGTCCCCAGCAGACCTTGTCAGTCCTCCAGTTTCACTGCCCACAAGCCCCATCCTGCCCACTGCCACTAATAGTACCACCCTGATGGACCAGCAGATACTGGCTGCAGCTGTGGCTTCACATAATAATGTTCATATGTCAGAGGCAGGACCTATGTCCCACCGCTTACCTACACCTACTGCCAATAATGACCTCACCAGTGGCATCAGTGACCCCACACCCAAAAAGAAGCCTCGTAAATCTAGCATGCCAGTAAAGATTGAGAAGGAGGTGATTGATGTGGCTGATGAATACGAGGACAAAGATGAAGATGATGAAGATAACATTCACCAAAATCACCACCATCACCAGTCATCACTTCTTCACAACAATATCAAAATCAATGGAAATTGTAACAGCCACAATAGTGGCAGTGGTAATGGAAATCACAGTGGTGGTAGTGGGCAGCAATCCCCTTCTCAGGATGAGATGAGCCCTGGGTTAGCTCTGAGAGGCATGATGAGACAGAGTGAAGATGAATGCCGGGAAGGGACTCGTAGTGACAGTAGGGGAGGTAATGATCTTCGAGGCTCTGGGGAATTACGTTGCATGGACAGCTTCACCTCTGAAGACCAGGACCATGAGAGAGACTTTGAGAATGAATCTGAAAACTCTGATTCCAAGATGTTCTACCGGGATGAGCTCATGGATGTGGATGAACATCAAAAACACAGCAGGGGTGGAAGAGGTCTGGACAAGGAACAGGATCATGAGGGTAATGAAGAAGCTCATTTGAGAAAGGAAATGGAAGGCAAGGGCCATTCATCACCCTCTCCTCATCACCACCCTATTAAGATCAAGGAAGAACTCAATGATCCAACCTATGACATGTTCTGCATGGGCCAGTATGGCATTTACAATGGAGGCATGGCAGCGGCTGCTGCCGCTGCTGCGAGTATGGCTGCCCTACATGAGAGCTTCATCTCCTCGATGGGCTATGGTGCCAGTCCACCCAAATTCCTTTCTTCTCAATCACCAGAGGGAGATCCATGCTCAAGTCCTGACCCCAAGATCTGCTATGTGTGTAAGAAGACTTTCAAGAGCTCCTACAGCATGAAACTGCACTACAAGAATGTGCACCTCAAAGAGATGCATGTGTGCACTGTGGCTGGCTGCAATGCCGCTTTCCCTTCCCGGCGGAGCAGAGACAGGTTAGTGCTCCCTATTCCTGTGTAAACTATCCCTTTTAATGTAATTGAAATAGTTGCAGGTAGGTTCTAAGGAAATATTTAATTCTGTCTTTATTTTTTAATATGATTTAAAAACTGCCACAACATAACTCTACAGAGTATATGTTCTATAAAAGCCTTGTGAAATGTTACATATTGGCATTTTTTTGGGAGACCAATGTCTTTCTATTGAAAAAAACAAGATTTAACTGCAGTATATCATTACTGTATCACATTTACCTACTGAGCTTTAACATCTGTTAGCTAATGGAACACTGAAAAATGAATTCAGGGACATCTGCTGCTTGTCAAGTCAAAGTTCAGAAGATTAGGGTGTCAGGATCAGAAACACATACACACACATTCATACAAGTACTATGCCGTACCCATAAACCCTCCAGCAGCAGTGTGTTGTTTACCTGCCCTCACTACCTCACCTTGTCACAGGGAGGTGAAGGCGCATATATTAACATAGACAGCAGTTTGTCAAACCACTGCATTTATTAGCGCATTAGGAGGTGAGGCTAGCCATGCTCACCTGGGCTTGTTAGCACATATCAGTTCCACACACTCACTCTGCAGAATATATATACTGCAGCTGCACTGGCCCCAGGTTCATGCTATAATTCAAGCTAAAGGTACATTCACATCTCTAGTGTCCTGGGGTAGTTCAGGAATTACATTTGTTTTGTTTATTGCATAATGGGAGGGGCTTATTAGAGTTAAATTAATCAATGTATAGTTGGTCACACAGAAAATCATATTCCCAGTCATCGAAACAATTAAGTGTAACAAATACCTTGCATGCTTTCAATCTTTATCTTTTAAACAAAACTCTGCTGCTCAACATAACAGTCTCATTCTTTCTGTTCTTTACTGCGTATAGATGAAAAAATGAGACATTAATTTTAGTTAAGGTCAAGTAACAAATCTTGTCAGACAGAGCTTTATATTTTTCCGTGTTTTGTCACACCAACCCAGTGGTTCCGCCCCCCTTCCACCACTGCTAACTCCCTCCTCCTAAACTTGCTGCTCCTTCTCCACCCCAAGCCTTTTAATGCATTTGTTATTCCTGTGGCATCTGTTCCTACCGATGTTTGTTCATTAGCAGCATGTAAATAGAGCAGGTGATTCTGGGACTCTATTAGAATGCATGTGGGAGGGGAAAGGGGGGGGAGAAGAACAGGTGACAACTTTGCGTTTGTGAAGGTGCAACCCTGCTGCTCAACTGATGCAGCTGTGCCGACAGCCGCAAACTGGCAAGTGTTTATTTTAGCATCCACTGCCTCAGTTGTACTGTGCTGCCACCAGTAATTTTTGTTAGTTCCCTTCTTCAGAAATAGAGAATGCCTGAGGCATGACTGGCCTGCTGTGTAACACGTGTAACACATGCACACACACACATCACTCACACACACACAAATAGGGGATATGTACAAATAGATAAGAAAAGAAAAAGATTTGTTTTAAAATAAATCCAGTAGAAAAAAGGAGAGTCCCTTAGAGTTTTGCAATAGAGGAAAAACTTGAGACTAATTCACCGAATAAAAGTGCCAACAGTAATTAGCAGACAGTACAGAGTGAATGATTTAGTCCTTTCAAACTTGAATCAGCTTTCATAGAAAATATAATTGTAAGGAAAGATGAGGGAAAAGGGTGCAGAGGGGAAGGTGCACTTTCACAAATATGCAGCCAGGTATTTGGTATCAAAGCCAAGGTTTAGTGGTCTGCTGTAGACAGACACACTGGGCTCACAGATTAGAAGACTCTGCACAGAAATAAGGGAAACGTCAACACAACTCTTCATATGCTCTCTCTCCTCATGTGTCACTTTGAATGTGTTTGTGTGTGATAGAGTTTTACTCCACTATGAGCAACAACACTACATAAATGCCTTTTAAACACAAAAGGTGACAGAAATAACTTTGTAGTGATGAGGGACAATTGTGAACCTAAAGTATTAATATATCTTTGAGCCAGGGGTGTACTGTATAGCTCTGAGTGGGTGAGACCTAAGCACACTATTGTTTCCATACTTTTTCTGTGGGGGATGAATTCCTGATAGCATATGGGACATATTACTCCGCCGCTGGTTCAAACGAGAAACAAAACAACAGAAGAGGGGCATTGCATAGCTGAAGGAATCCTGGGGCTTTGAGACTAGTCAATACACAAGCCGGGCTCTCATCAAATCTGTCCCTGGATAATCCTCTAATGATATAATGCATGTTCGAGTGTAATGGTAGCAATAAAAAGGGAAAATAATTTGGTTGTTTTCATGAGAGCATTTACTCTGATAAGATTAAGAAACTGCGCGTAGAAAGAGATTTGAACACAATATTTTTAAATGTTTATTACTAGTAAATTAGATCAAGTCAAATTCTGTCTCCTAATATGATTTTTTTGTCAACAGTAATAGGAGTAACAATTAATAAGCAGCTCTGCAGTGTTTCACCTCAGACACAACATTTAATACTCAAACTAAAATAATAAAAATAAAACAAATATTAGAAAAATAATTTTAATTTTAATAAGAGAAGGGTACAGCAGTTGTTATTTAGTCTCGTTTTCACAGCTGAATAATATATGCTTCTAAAGTAGCATTATAATATGCGGTCCTTCCTGGCTTCTTCTTCTCAATACCTTCCAAACAGCTGTTGACATCCAGCAACAGTCTTAAGTATCTCGCATATCTGATTAGCCCATTGACCGAGTGAAAAGCCAAAGGCACGTAAACACACCATCAGACAGCAGGATCAAAAGCTCCTGTATCAAAGTGAAGAAGAAAAAGTAGAAGTCATTTGAACTACAGAGAGAAACAACAGACATCATGAAATTGTCAGGGTAGGACACTGGAAATGCACTAGCATTGAAAAAGTGTCAGAACTATTTGTTTAGTTTGAATTCCTGCCCTATTTATTTTACACTGCAAGACTGTACACGGCTTACACACACATTCAGGAAACGATAATTCATCGTGCCCTTGAGCAAGCATGTAATGTGTGTGTTTTTGAGTGTAAAACAGAGTGCGACATAAGTGTGTGTGTATGTGGTTTTACAGTGGGGTGTTTTATCCCAGCCTCCCGGCTGCCTGCAGCACGGAGGTAAATGATTGCATATTTATTGTGGGGAGCGAGCAGCGTCGGCTGAAGTGTTAAAGAAGGTGCATGATTAACTGCTGGAAAGGTGCACATACCAGTAATCATGACCATTATTAGCCTCGTTAATAATATTTTCTAACCTGGTGACAAGCTTAGCCTTACTTATCTCACTTTCATCAACCTGCCCTGCTTTCTTTTTTTTGACCTTCACTCCAGCATATAACTTGCTCCTTCTACGTCGCTACAGCAAGTCGGTGTCCTCCCTTCCCCACATTCCCATGGTGCAGCAGTGCGCAGCCCGTCGTCCCCGCATGGGCCACTGCAAACGGGGAGTGAAGGTTAATTATGTTGGAGAGACTCTTTCCTCCCTTCTCCTTTCTCTCTCCGTCTCCCTCCGTGTCCCTCGGTCCCCACTCGGCGTGTAGGCCCGGCTCCGCTGCTCCGCAATCAGCTCTCTGTTTGTCTCTTATAAACAAAGGGCGTGCTGCGTTTAGAGAGAATATGTAAGCGAAAGCCACTTACCCTCATTAAAATATCTGCTGATTAAAAGATGGAAACTTTTTTTTATTACACCCCTTTGGTTTATCATTGAATACATACATCCCTGTGATGTATTTTGTGGAGAATAAAAGGGAATTATTTCACTCTTAGTTAAATAACAGAGACACCCACACAAGCACATTGTAATCAATAGGCTTTTCAAATCATAATCATAATAATGTTTTCACAGTTGAATATATATTTAATGTGTATCCACTCTTTTATATTGTAGCTTATGCTGCGAATAGACTGAAAAAATGCAAAGGAGATGTAACAGTGGCAGAGAGTGATAAATGTTACTAAAACTCTTGTCCTCCCACATGCACCCAAAACCTCATCACAGACCCCAAATGACAGGAAAGACAAAGAACCACAGGTGTCAGTTTAATACCACTCAGCTCTCCATCTCATTTACGCATTATGAGTCATTTAGACGACATGCGCGCACGTATACGCACACATACACACACTGACACAACAACAAGGGCAAGGGCCATCAGATGATTAACGCCAGTTGGGACAGGCACACACTCGCTCTGCCTCCTCTGCACAGTCAAAAATGGGCTCTCAGGAGGCCTCCCCCATCTTTTGGGCGAAGATGAGACTGTCAAATTGGTTTGCCAGCCATATTACTGGCCAACAGGGAGGAAGAGATGGGAGTGGGGGGGCTAAGGAGTTGGGTTTGGAGGAGGAAAGATGGAACGTTCTGAGGTGGAGGGATGGAGGTGAAGGGACAGAGGGAAATGGGGCAGAAAGTCTAAATCTGATAAATGAAGGGATAAATGCATTACAGCCTATGTGTGTAGATTCAGCTGAGTTATTCTGATTCTTCTGGGCAAGGCAGCATGGCCAACACTAAACAATGTTTGTGCAAATAATCATGAACTGGATTCTTTCTCTCCTCCTCAGCCTTAATAATTTTAAATGGTTACAAATTACATGTATTTTATTTTCATATATATCTGTTAAATGCATAAAGATTCCCGTGGTAATTGTGAATATTTCTTTAATTTAGATATTGTTGTAATTTTCTGACCATGTGATGTGAATTTTAAGTATTTAGACTGGCTACAGTAGCTCTAGCGCAGACTACTTACTGCATGATGTTTAGCATGTTTGACTTTAATATCTTTAAAATCCGAGATATAGCAATGGTTAAATTAGAGCTTATTAGCAGTGAGAAGGTGTTGTTTTAGAGATGGAGACATGTTGCAAAGGACCTGCCTACTTGAGCATCATCAACAGCATCCTGCACGTAAAGTTTAACACAGCAAATCTATGACCCCTTCCTCACATCAAAACCAGTTAGCTGCATGGTGTCCCTACAGAAATTATAATTTTTTTATATATTGATCCCCAACTTTCCTGGACATTCTTAAAGCACTCTGGCCTCTCACATCCAAGTGTCCACATATGTATTTGACTAGACAAGGATACAGGCTCAGCGCCCGAGACATTGAATCATGACTCCCATACTCCAGCCATAAGCCAACACCATATGGGTGCAACTGTACTATCAAAGGATAAAAAAAGAACAAAGGATTTATATAGTCTTTTTGATCGAAGTCCTGCTAGATGGAGGTAGTATATTTTTCACACACACACACACACACACACACACACACAAAAAGACACAAGCACATGCAAACACACACACATCCAGTGACAGCCATAGCCAATCGATTTGCCACGCTCCCCCTCTCCTCAATGCTGACAATGCTCGAGTGGACTGGCTCCTGGTTGCTTGGTTCACAGAAAAGGGTCCCTCAAATGAATGTATTTTTACCTCTTGCAGGACAATGTCGGATAGGGAAGTAAATAATTAAAGGAAAGGGACCCTTTTTGACTGCATCAACCCTGCCACTGCTGGTAAGCTCTACTATCCATTGTGACTCCATCTTTGCCCGTCCTGCTAAGGATGATCCCCCCCTTTTTTTGTTTTGATTTTTTTTTTTCACACGTGCCCTCCCTGCATGGAAACCCTTCACATTAAAAAGGCACTGAGTGTTTGCATATTTTCTTATTTAAGTGCTGACCTGATATTCGGGAAGTGGGCCTTGTGTATGTCTTATCTGAAACTGGTCATAGTTGCTTAAGTTTCCTTTCTGTGTTTTGTTGTGACATTGTGTGCCGTGGGTCCCCCCCCCCTTTTTTCTTAGTCCAACTTGGCAACTGTGAAATTGGAGAATAAAAGCATTGCATTTGATTTTTCAAGCCCATTTTGCCCCAGCATCCTTTAGCATGGCTTTGTGTGCTAACTAAAATCCTCACTAATTGTAGCCTGGCTTAAGCATGGCACTTGTTACTGACTTTCTTTCATCAGCTGCAGCACATTGTGTGATATAGTTTGCTTTGTGTTTGGGAAAAAATGACCATCTTAATTAAATCCAGAGCTACATAAAGACATGTTCACTGAGGTGCTCGATTAAGCCACCTCCAATAGGGAGCGAATGCGATAATGCTGTCAGGGCCTAGTGCTAATATGCTATCCAGTTCCCCTCGATTATCACATTACCACAGCTCGAATCAATTGATAAACTCCCATTCAATATGGTGGAGTATTTAATTGAGTCAGAGTCTATTGGATTTGAGGGCTGTGCAGTGCAGACATGCTGACAGCAGTAAACACTAGCAGGGTGCTCTCTCTCTCTCTCCCTCTTTCTCTCTCTCTGTGCAATGTTAGTCCTCATTTCTACGGAGAGTTGCAGGGTGGATTTCTCTCTCTGTGTACCTCCACTGAAAGTAAGAATAATTGCATATGTAGTGGTTCCTAGATATATAATCTTCATAGCCTGGTGCCATTTCAGAAGAGGAGAAGTTTGGATTTCATCACTGTGACTACTTTTACTCTATAACAGTTTTCGTATACTGATCTAGAAATGTTTATGTTTACCCACATTAGGCACAGCTCCAACATCAACCTGCACCGCAAACTGCTGACCAAAGAGCTGGACGACATTGTCCTGGACCCCCAACTCACGCCACTGCCCAAGGACCTGCGAGCTGAGCTACTGGCCAAGATCTACGCCGGTCATCACATGGGCTTGGACCCTATGGCTGGGATGGGCATCGGAGGCGGCAGCCTTGGACACACCGGCCTGAACCACGATGCCCGTTCCCCCATGAGCAATGAGTATTTCCACCACCCTCTCAGCCACAACCTCAAAAATCACCACACCAACGGCTTCTCCCAGAGCCAGCAAGATGACTACATGGTGCTGGACCTGAGCACCACATCAAGTGTTCAATCCAGCAGCAGTGTCCACTCCTCACACGAGTCAGATGAGGGCAGCGATGAAGGCATCCTACTTGACGATCTGGAGGAGGAGGATGGAGAAGAGGATGAGGAGGAGGGTAACAGCGAGGGAGAGGACTGCTCCCAGCGTGCCGAGAGGCGAGCTGAAAGAGGGCAGCGGAACGAGACTGGAGAACTTAGAGGAGAAGGACATGGTGAGGGGTTGGAACCTCCCTCCTCACCATTCCTCCTTTCGTCCACGGGGGGCAGTAATAGTGGCGGCAGTGGGATCCTCTGCAACATCTGCCACAAAATGTACAGCAACAAAGGGACCCTGCGTGTGCACTACAAGACTGTGCACTTGCGAGAGATGCACAAGTGCAAAATTCCTGGTTGCAACATGGTGTTCAGCTCAGTGCGCAGTCGCAATCGACACTCTCAGAACCCCAACCTCCATAAAAACATGCCCTTCTCTACAATAATAGACTAAATAATGACTTTCTACTCTACCCTCCTGTCAGTATGCCCGCTCCTCCCGTCGTTCCTCATCCTTATTCCTCCTCAAATTAGCTTTTAACCCCAGCCCAGGGCCATCAAATACAAGATAAGTGCTTGTGTTCCTCCTGCCCACCCTCTGCAAGTCATTGCAAGACATTTGTATGTCCCTCTATAAAATTCATTGACTCTAAATACAGTTTATTATTTTGAACTTTGACTTTACCTTCTTTGGAAGAACAGAATGATACTCTTGAGTACGGAGTTTGCTTTATAACAAAACTCCAAACTTGTTTTCATAACCCCCCCCCCCCATCTTTCCTTGCATACCTCTCCCAACTTTGTTTTCATGTCCGTCTCCAAAGAATCTATTCAAACTCTTATTTGTGACTTTGCCTGCAGAAATAATAGTACTGAGAAAAAAAAAAAGAAAATCTTCTCGTTGTATTTGTGTAATGATAGCTTTTAAATGAACCCCTTACAAAAGCATGACAGCTTCATTTGTAAATAATGTCCCAAGAGGCTTTTGGTGTAAAAGAGTTGTGTTGATGGTTGTTTGCTCTTTTTTTTCTCTCTCTCAATCCTTATGGTTTTATGTTACAGTCCAGTACAATACTTCCAGCTATAGGCAAGAAAGAGGTAGCATCTTACTAGCTTGATTCATTTATGTTAGCTTCAAAGATATGTTTTAAACTGAGTCCTAGGAAAAAAAGAATATCACGTGACTTGCTTTATCTACTTGTTAGGTATTCAGAGGTTGCCGGCATGCTTTTTTAGGCTCCTACACTGATATCATTCTCTGTATTTCTATTGATTTTCTTTTTTTTGTCTGTTTATGTTTATGAGCTTTAGTATACTAATTCAGTTTTTGCACTTTGCATCTATACAAGGGGATGTGTAATATTATTATAATGAGGAGTTTTTGCAATGGTGAGTTAGGTGTTGTTTGGGGTCATCGGCGGCTACAGTGCCAAGGGAAATGACAGTACCTTCAACATACTTGTGCCAGTACAGTTTTTGCACGTTCTCAGTTTCGAAACATACTTTCACAACATAAAATCTTCCCCTGAACAAAGGCTGAGATCTTCCCCTATCTCTAAAAATACGTATTCAGAAGGTGTCTCCAAAGTGTCTTGCTTCAAAACTAATCCAGGTGTGACTGAAAATGAACTGCTGTTTCACAAACACAAAGTAAATACTGATAAAGCCTCCTCCTCTTTATTTTTAAGGAGACATTGTGTGCGGTTGCCAGTTATGATCACAACACTTAACTTCAGTGGTTTAGTGAGGTAATCTGTATAAAGCATGACCTTTTTGTGAAATTATTAACGTTAGAAAAGCAAGAGCTCACATTAGTTATCACAAAAGGCATCTTAATAAAATATGACTGTCCCGTAAATTTAAAAAATAGAGATAAAAAGATGAAATAGTCCTTCAACTGTGACCAAAACTAAAGTGTTTGCTTTAGAAAATATGTTTCATTGTGACATTGTACTTAAATCATGCCCCATTGGATTAATATGATGCACTTGAGTCTTAAATCTTTTTGCTGTGATATTTTTGGTATCGGTTTCCATTTCTGAGTGTTGGCTTCAAATGTGCTATATGAAAAATGTCGCCATTTTCCCAGCTGCTTGGTTGCAGCGGTTTTTAACATGTCCATGACTGTCTTACGGTACAAATATTTCCAGTAACTGGGCAAAGTAGCCAAGGGAAGGGGTATTTATTGGTGGGTGATGTATGTTCATGGAGATGTTTTTGTCCAGTATGAAAATATTTTTTGTAAAAAGACAAAAAAATTGAGATTGTTCATCAGTTTGATTTGTTTATCAATGTATTAGCAATGCCATGTGTTACTATACAACAAGACCTTCTCTTACTTGACTGGTGCTACACACAGGAGGGACAAATATGCAGTGTTATGTCGCGTGCTGTACAGTATTCACAACATCTTACATCCATAACAGTGTTGAGCTCCATTTGTTTTGTATTTAAGCCGTTCTGCCACAGACATGACCAATTCTAGTGAAATATTTCATCAATATTTTTTTTTTCCAAAGACTCCACGCATATGACACATGCAGTCTCCAGCCAACACCTCTCAGAGAGAAAGAGAGCGAGACAGAGCGCTGTGGCTGATGGAAAGGTTGCAGAGGTGGAAGGCTGACTAGGGAGGAAAGGATGACAGCAACCATCATTAAAAATGTGCCGCTTCTCCGTTACCTGCAGGCGTGTCCCTGCCATTCCAGCTTCTTCTGTCTAATATCTCACTTGTCACTTCGTTACACTGCCAGGCGAAAAGGTTGCTGACATGACTGTGACACTGACAGAGAGAGAAAAAAAAGAGGACAGAGTGCGCGCCCTGAACAATTCAATTAGACTCATTCGACTTGGTTGAATTCATCTATTCATTTCATACATGTGCTTATTCTTAGTCAGGGTCGCCGTGTAATCCAATTCAGTTCCTCTCTCTCATTCTGTTTTTCTCTTTGTCTGTCAGAGCACAGTCATTCAACAAACGCCTTACCCATTTCTTCAAGCCGCCACTCACTTACCACCTCCACACCCCACAGCGCAGGTCCTACAGGGACACACACTAATAGTGTATGCTTAAGTTCACCGGACGGCCATGGCATAGGAAAAAGGGATGGGTAATTGCCTGTTTATCCCAAGTGAAGGGAAAATTGAGTACAGGAACCCCTGCCTTCTCCCAGGAGTGGGTTTCACCGAGGCGCTTGCTGCCTCATTCACTCATTCGATCCCCCCGGCCCTCGCTCTGGCAGATATAAAAAACTGCTTCTCCAGGAACCCTGCTGACAGCTGTCTCTCCAACACACAACCATACAAACACACACATGCGCACGGAGAGAGGAGAGTGGCACACAAATACTTCCTGCGTACAGGCCGGAGGGACGACAAGGACTAGATGACTTGTTAACCTCTAGTGATGGAAGGGACAGGGTCAGAGTGAAAACACCACAGTAGATGAACTGCTCCATTTTCCATGATGGAGAGTCATGGAAAGCAGGAAATCATTATTATCATTTCATTATAAATATTCCGACATGCTTAAGCTAATACTTTCAGACATTCTACCGGTAGAAGACAAAGATTAAATTAAACTAATAATGAGGCTGACAAAATCACAGACTGAATTGAAGTCTCTAGAAATGAGAGCAGTACATATCCAACATATTCAAAATAATTTTAATATAAATGTGCTGCATCCAATGAGCTCTGTACACTTTTTAATCTGAGATAGAAAAACAAGTTTTCTGACTTTATTTTTTTCACATTCCTCATGTCCAATTCTTTGCTACCCATTTCTCAAGCAGCAGCTGCAGTGCATGACCTCTCTAGCTGTGTACTTGTGTGTACTAGACAGAAGGCTGAATATCATGGCAGAGATTCCCTTACAACACCCTTCTCCAGCCCCTTACGGGCTCCCTCTGTGTCTTGCATGGCGCTGGTCATGCCAGCAGAGCTCAGAGCTGAGAGATGCTGGAAACGGAGCTGAGAAAACACACAAACAACCGTCCCGCATAGCCAGGGAGACTGACGGCGAAGACAGTGAGAGGAGGGAGAGATGAAGGGAAAAGGCATTGGGCGTAGGAAGTGGTCTGGCTGAAGCCTCGCAGCAGTCACTTAACTAGGCAGGGGAGAAAAAGAGAGGACCACAGGGAGAGAAGAGAGCAAGGGAGCAGCAGGGCCAGGACTCCCCAGGACTCATCACCAGCTTCTTCTTGATTGCCTGCCGGAGAGCGAACGAGCCGCCCCTCGGATTTCCACCCCTCTCCCCTACACTCTGTCTCCTCTGAGAAATGAGCACCAATTTCCGCCACTCCTTCGAGAAAGCCCCCAATCCAATCTTTGTGTTTCTTACTTCTCCAGCCACATGGGCCCAGGTGCACTCTGCTACCTAGTGACCGGGCCATGAGACGGCAAGACCAGGTCACTTAGAGCGCCTCATTGGCCCAGACTACAGAAGTGAATCTTTAATATTTGATTAGAAGAGCGTCAGGCATCAATTATTCTGTATCGCACACGGAGGGAGAGGGAGATGGAGCGGCTGACCTGTTAATCACTGTCCGTTTTGTTCACATCACTGAGTGTGAGAGGCGACACGTGACACAAAGTGGGATTCAAATGTTTGATGGGACACCATGAGAAATATGCAGATAGGAGGTAAATAGTGTGTATAGATGCTTCAGTCTCGTAAAAAAAAATACCCTCATTAATTTGAACTGGAACCTGTGAAATGTCAGTGATCCTGAAAAAAAATACTGTAAATTCATGAAATGTTTTCCGTTGTGCCAATCATATTTTACAGTCTTAAACTATAAATAAGCTTGAAGAACCGGTGAATTTAGATTTTTTGTTTTTCTTTTCTTTCCATTTGTGTTTTTGCGTATCCAATACATTTGTGTCTGTGTCTTAAAAAGCCTTTGTTGTGGCACTGGCACTCGACAGCGTTGCATGGCTACATGGTCGCACTGCGGAGAACAAACACAGCAGAGGAGCTTGTATCACTTTGGTGTCAAAATGGTGATTTGGAAGCCACATGAATACTGTACGTTACCTAAACAGGTGTTTCCCATTTGCAGACAGGGGGAAAAAATGTCCTCTTTTTAAAAAGACTCTTTTCTTTGTTTTTCTTTCCTTTTTGCCTTTCCTGTATTTGTTTCTGTATCATAACTGTCTTTGGTTTTTGCATAAAATGCATAAGGGTTTTGGGATGTAAATGGAATTTTATTCATATTTTGTCCAAATACCTCTTGTAATTTGTATCAGAATTCTTGTACAATTTTTATATTAAAGATTTATCAGTCACTGGCATCTTGTTCTCATATTTCATTCTAACCTGGACTTCACAAATAATCCCTAAATTGTGTTGTCGTAAAAATGTTGTGAAAGTGAAGTAGCTTGAATTCTATAATGTAGAAAAAACAGAACCGATGTGTCAATCAAGCCATTTAAGACAGTGATCTCAGCAGGTTTTACTGGGCTCTTTAATTACCCTGTGATAAAAACCAGTGGGGAAAAGGCTATCTTGACCAATCAGTGGACGATAAGATTAAGAGAGTTATTAAATGATGTATTGGCATGAGAAGAAGGCGTACCTGGTTTTAGCAAATTAGTAAGATGGTCACTGAAGGGGGGAAACAAAGGACATACACCTTTGTCTTATCATAAGCGTAAATTAAATTAAACAGCTATATTTTCTTTGGTGATAATTAAAACTGAATGTATCCTTTAAAAAAAAAGTAGGAACAAAATATATTGACAATCAGAAATTAAGATTTTTTTTATTCCCCTAAATACACTTTGGGTTCTAGCAAATCATATTTTTTTTAATTGTTGAATACTTATGTAAAATTATGAATATTACATGCATCCTTTAAAGAAAAACATACTTTCACCTTGGAGCAACGATGTGACACGGACGACAGACACTGACAACACCACAGACAAATGTGGGGTCATTCCACAAAAAGCGACCTGCGCTGACATCATTTGCTGTGACTGCGGGTAAAATTACAAATTGATATGAGCTCCAGCAGGGATGTCATGCTTGCTCTGGTAACCAACGGGAACATAACGCCGCCGCCTCCTCCCTCCTCTCTGAGAAAGTGAAGCAGTGACACACAAAGGCCTTATTGACCTTGAATCAGACACCATTCCTCTTTGTCACACACCAGTTCCTTGATCCCCTGTCATTGTTGATAACAGCAGAACACACACACACACGCACTTCAGAATAATAGCACTGCATGGTATTGATTATATGCAGGCCCGGTAAGAGATACTCCCCCACTTCTACCAGATATCCTCCGCCACTCATCCTAAACACATACACACCCCCTTTATTCCTTGGTGACAATCTCCGACCGAGGAGGGAGGGCGATGTCCGACATCAGGCTGACCCCCCCCCCCCCCCCGCTACATAACTGAGCATGTTGACGTTGACGGCAGGCCATCGATTGGCCTGACAAACACTCTGGCCCTCCGCTGACCTTTGAAAGGCAGAGTCCTTTTGCTGTGGGAGAATACGTACATGCAGAGCGAGAGGAAAAGAGGGAGGGGTGCTGTTGTTTATCTGAACTGGAGAGGCCGGAGAAGTTGACAGGGCAAAGACGTTCATCAGCTCATCTGTCCTTCTGTCTGTCCTCTATATTAATCATTTATTTGCTGTAAAACCATTTAAGAGTCTGCTTCTGTCAATGGTTCTTCCTTAAAAATAGATTTTAAAGGTTATAAAATTAGTTTGCAGGTTGTGCACAGGAAGAACACACATCACAACCTCACATTCACCTTCATGTTTGCAGTATATAGGACAAATAAATAGGACGCAGCTTTCTCTCCTCGCCACAAGCAGCAGCACAACTCGAGGCATGACCACATGTTCCAGAGATTATTTTAAATAGAGTCAAATTCCAAGTCAATAGTGCCGGTATTTTGGCAAAATGTACAGTCTCCAATTCACAATACTCACGGTAACTACAATACAGAGAGAACACAAATAAAAGAGCCAACAGAAGAAGATTTAAAGTATTTGTTGTAACAGCGTAGACAGCGCGCCACCTTAGATAATTGTGAAACCACACACAGCTTATTCATATTGTCAAACTCATATTAACTTTGCCATCCAGGCAGAAGCACTGCCCGTGTGCCAAATCAGCTGCTGTCATTTTCATAGCGAGAAAAGCCACAGATATCAGATAATGTTGTTGGCTGACCATTGACAGATTGAATATACACAAGTCGCATTGTTCTTTTTCCGCAATATTTCACTCTGCAAGGTCCCTCAAATAAAACTGGAGCCAATCCCAGCTGATATTAAGGGAGACGAGGGGTGCACCCTGGACAGGTCACCAGCGTATCGCAGAGCCAACATACAGAGACAAAAAAATTAACCTGAGCCCAGTCTGCATGTCTTTGGACTGTGGGAACTTGCTGGAGTACCTGAAACTCCACACGGAAAGCAGAGGAAAACCAGAATTCGATCTGGGAACCTTCTTGCAGTGAGGCAACAGTGTTACCTGGGAAATTCAAATTCAATTCATTCAAAGATATTCTTCCTCTTTCTTACACACACACACACGCACACACATACCATCCAGCCACTGCACTGAAAGCAGAAATCAATTTTCATTGAGAACTAATTGATTGTAATTGCACAATACAATTAGAAGGTAAATGACCAGGATTTAGAGAGAAAGAGCAGAAAAGATTTTATCCCAAGGCTGCTAAATTTAAATTTGTATTTAACGTGACAATGAACAGAACCATTTCTTTCAACTTTCTGAAGAGTACAATACATAATTATATTAAAAGCTGGACTGGAGGACTGTGAGCAGAAGCACTTATGAATGTTAGTGAATGGCAGAGGAAACGTGGAATTAGAGGGAACAAAACCGATGGTGACTCCTGAATTCTTATAAAAACGTATCTGTGGTAACATGAGCCTTGGCTGGGATGGACCGCATACACGTATAAGACTTTTTACTGGGCCTTATTGATTTGGTTCTACACCAGTGAGGCCTGCAATGCTGGCTAATGCTATTGACGAGCCATCAGTCTTGTCCAGAAGTGTGGAGGCATGCAGCTCTTTTTCCAAGACCAACCAAGGAAGGAGAGAGGAAGAGGAGAAAAGAAAGAGAGGGGGAAAAACATCAATGGACAGTGATGGAGAGTAGGGAGGAGGGCGAAGATGCAAGCACAGCAGACAGACTCAGACCACTGTCCATGGTTTGGGAACACTAAATTAGAAAAAAGACAAAAGGGATGAGAGAGGGAGAAACTGTAAACAGCCATATCGATCCAACTAGTGCTGGGCAAATCAAACCATTACAGCCGGAGTCTCATGCCCCAGAGTTGAGGGAGATGGTGTGAATATCTGCACACTCTTCTAGTGAAGAAAAAAGTTTCCACCAGCATCACACTGGATCTCTTTCAGAATTGCTGGACTTACTAATTCTTCAGTCTGCTTCACCCGCTAAATAACAAGGTGGAAGTGCAGTAGGAGAGGAAGGGGTTAACTCGGAGGAGGGTGGAAGGGAGGATGAAAAAAGCCCTCTGGCAACCCAGGGACAGAGGGAACGCTGAACTCATCACAAACCCCTCTCCTGGCGTCCGCCAGCACATAATGACCCCAACAAGACGGGAATCCCTTTTAATTAAAGTGAAGGGAGATCAGTTAAGCAGATGGTTGCCGACAAATATTAGGGGAAATAGAATGTTTAATGGTCTGTGCACTTATCGCAGTCTATTTTCCACACCCAGCCCCAAACTGATAAACAGGACAGGGCCTTGTTAATCAACCTTACAACCTTTAAAGCCCAAGATAAGAGAATAATTCGGGATCTTTGTAAATTAGCTTGAGATGTGGCTAAGACTCTGGCCCCTTGCGTACTCAGGGCCAGACTGTCGAGGAGGGAGAGGAATTTCTATCAGTGTAATAGCCTTGTGCCATGGTGAAGAAGTTTGGGGGAAAGTATTTTTTTTCAGGGGATAAAGATTTTTTTTCTGGTATTTTCCTGAGTTTTTATTCCCCTTGTGGTTTGACCCTCCTGCCGCCACCCTGCTGCGCTCTTATCAGTGACACAAGAGAGTCACCCGCCTCCGTGGAAATAATCTAAACAGAGAGGCGGGGAATCGGCAGCCCCAAGCCTGTGGCCTGTGTGAGCAGGTTAACGGGCCCTCACCCCTCTGAGTCAGACACAGGTGGGGGTGGCTTGTGTTTATTTTACAGATGATGGATTGAAAAGGAAGGGATTATCGACAACAGTAGCAGCCCTGCGAGAATCGTAGCAGGTACATTTTTGCTGTAACAAGCCTTACACAGGATAAGTATTTCTAGGGATAAGATATTGCAGCTATTTCAAAAACTATGAGGCTGAGGCCTCGTGATATTAAATTGTTAAATGGATGTCTATCATCTCGTACTAAAACACTAAAAGTGTTCTCAGGATAAAGGAAGGCAACTTTTTTTAAATAATTTTTATCCAAAATACAAAACTGGTGAGCTGGGATCCCATAAACAGGATAAATGATCATGTTTGATGTTTCATTTTTAAGGCTCATTTAGGCCAAATGTTTGATATGTATACAGAAAGATGAAGCGTAAGCTGTGCTTTATCCGTGTTTGTGCACGTCCTCTGAAAACTTCCTGATATGAACAAAACAGACAAAACTGAGTAGTACCACCAGAAATCATGGGGGGGCAGTCTAGCCAATATTTCAAGTGAGATGCCCAGAACCAGAACTTTTTGAGGAGATACTTTATAAGTTGGTAGAAAACTACAGGCGTCTAATTCTCCACCCAGAACCAGGGACAAGCAGCCTCTGCCTGGTCTTAAGAGGTATATTATCGCAAACTCCTCCACTGTGGTCATTAGAAATTCTCAACTCTACGCTGCTCTCTCATGGATGAATTGCTTAACAACCACACAAAACGTGAAGGATGCATGGAACTATGTGGTGGGCATGCATCATTTGAAATGGACGATATATGGTTTCTCTTTTCGTTTGTTAAGGCAGCACGAATGAGCCTTTTTCTGGGACAGCTGCACTGGATACATCTTCAGTGAAAACAACACATAGTTCTCAATTTAATCAAAAATAATTCTTACTATTATTATAAAAAATGTTTGCTTTCCGCATGTTGTGACCTAACTCACTGATACAATAACTTTTACACATTCAACTTAGGAGTTACTGTCCTCAGTGACTGTCGACTTTCGGCTATAGTGCATTTTACCTTTTCTTGAATCAAAAACACATTGGCTGAACTCAGCCCCACCTCTTCCCACCTCATCTTTTTTTTTTTC